ACCGAAACACTGGTAACAACTTACATGAATATACAACTTCATAACCTAAGGAACAAAATCGAAAACCAAAATTTAACATCCTCAATTTAAAATTCATTCAAAAGTCGTTATACTAAGAAATTGTGATGGATGTAGGATAATTATCGGAAAAAAAATACATTTTTGTGTATTAATTGTTTGTATATGTAAAATACAAACAATTTATTTGAAGTCTCTCGCTCAGCACGATATTTCATGTTCTGACAAGACCATATGAAAAGTTATGAAGACTACTTTTTTCAGATGTTTAAACAGCAAATATGAATTAGTATTTAAACCATTAGGAGTTCATTTGTGAGTAATTCCTTTAATATAGATTCAGACTACATTAAAATTGTCAGTTATAACCTCAAAGACTCACAATATCGTCGTCATATTTGTAATTATTAACATGTAAACAATACGTTCGCTACGGTGGTCTAGCGGTTAGAACGCTGGCCTTGTAATCCTGGGGTCTCGGGTTCGATTCCCGGCGGTGTCCGAATTTATAACTTGTGTTGGGCAAGGCCGTGGGCTAGGCAACACGGAGTTTTTCTCCGTGGCATCCCAACAATTACTCATTACTCCATACACACAGAAGAAGGCAATGGCAAAGCACTTCTGGATCATCTGCCAAGAACGTATATGAACAGGTCCCAGTCCGAGAAAAGGATGGAAGGATCCTGTTCATATGGACCTGTCGTCAGACAGAACACTAATAATAATAATAATATGTAAAATAACAACATTTAAATTGTATTATGGAAATAAGAATTTTGAGTTCGCCAGGATTCGATAACTTAAACCCATGCATACGAGTCCAGTTTGCCACAACAGAGTTGACTTGGCCTGTTGATACAGATTTGCGTTACTTAAAGAATAAATTAATATCATCTGATTTGTATAGTTGAGATCTAAAGTTATGTATGTGAGATAATTGACGTGATATTTTATTAATAATTCAAAATTTGTAAGAACGCATGTGTGTCCGATGTAAATTACACATTTCTATTCTTGTTCTAATCTTTGTCACTGGCTGCTATAGCGAAGAAAATGAAATTAAATTACGCATCCCCCGCCGGATTATGATTAAGATATTGCATGTTCTATTTTAATTTTAAACCTACTTACTTCGCTGACGTCCGCACCGCTCAAAATGTCAACATCCAGTGTACACAGACACAATATAAAATCAATATAAGATAGTTCTGTAGTTAGTATCGACAACATTAAAGGTAAATGAACGCCTTTTATAAATAGGGCTCTGGGGATCGGTTACAATGCTTCAACCTCCTTTCCATTAGGTATAGTTTCCCGAACTGTTTGGTCCAAAAAAACAATGTTAATGTAAGATTTGAGGTTTTCACAGCGGCGAGTATGAAGATTTCTGTCTTCTGGGTTGTTAACCAACGTTTCAGAGGTCATACTGCCTCCGTCATCAGAGTATGAAGATTTC